GCATTCGTCGAAGTCAACATCGTCACTGGCTGTGGGGGATGATGAATCCCCAAGTCCAGTCGGCGCCTCACCCCGTTCTCGTCGACCTCCCACAACAGATTCTCGTCGAATTCGATACCAGTGTCGAGCAGGATGTTGTGGAGAATGCAAAAGGCCGTGAACTATTCCGGTAGAGTGTTGAGGTTCGTCTTGTGCGTTCGCAAGAAGAGCCTCCTCATCCCCTTCTACCTCCCGAATGCCCTCTCCACAGCCCCTCTTGCGACCTTCTGCTTCGTGTCGAACCTTTCCTCGCCTGGGTGCTGATTGATTCCTCCATATGGAACCACCACCCATTCAGAAGGAGGATACCCGTTGTCGCCCAAGATGTATCCGTTCCTCCTCACCCCTCCTGGCAGCGTGACAGGCGGCCCACGAAACAACATTCCCTCTTCCGCGTGCCCGGACAGACTTGACAGCTGGATCACCCTAATGTCGTGGCAGTTCCTCGGATATCCAACGAACACGTTAAGCACGGGCAGATCCAGGTCCACCACCACCTGCGCAATGACGGAGAAACGGTGCTTGCGGTCGAAGTAGTTCTCGCTCGGCGCGTTCGCCAGTTTGTCCATGTAGATGTGTGCGCAGTCAACTGCGCCATCGCAGTTGGGAAAACCCTTGTCCAGAAACGCCCGTAGCACGACTTATTTCCTCACCCTTGTCGGCCACGATATGTTGTCCCCATACACCCTCAACATAGCGGTTGTCACATTGCGCACGACTCGGACTCCGCAAGCCCTGCCCATGCCGAAGGATGATGTGTTGTTGTCGTACGACTCTCTTGTAGCCCACCCGTACAACGCATACGCGACGATCTGCTCCGGTTGAAGTGGCTCCCTGTAAAACGTCACCTGTCATTGCGAATGAGCCGCATAGGCTTCGGTGATCTCCATGAACACTTTCCTGGACATGCGGAGCTTTTCGCGGAAGTAGTCGTCTGTCGCGTCATTACACACCCGCAAATCGGCCCAAGTCCCGCCAGCTCTCCACCTCATCCACCAACGTGGCGTCGCCCGAGGAAGCACACCACACCCGATTGCAGCGCATAGCTGAACCACAGTCTCCGAAGTGGTAATGCAGTTCGGGGCGTCCAACACCCTTTGCAGCAAAAGCCTCTACCGCCGCCTTGAAAGCGTTGCCTTCATGCGCCCAGCCGCCCTCTCGACTTGGAATCGACAGTCAACAGCAACCGCAGCCGCCGCAACGGCTATCTTCTCCGTCCTCGACAGCACAGCACGGCCATCCTCATCGCAGCCCTCCATTACGCCCTTCAAACACGAGAAACAACGTCCACCGCCACCCAGCTGCGTCTACGTCTGCCACGGTGATGACAAATGAAGACGCCTGCAATTAGGTGAGGAAGACAACCGTGCTCAACGATGTTCCACCCCGATTGGAGCGTCCGCCCACCGCCACTGAAGTACGGAACCGTCGAGCGCGTCCATGTAGCGAGCGCAACTGCCGATACCCCTCTTTGTTTCGCCGCGTCAACCACACTTGAGATAGTGGCGGTGCGGCGCCGCTAAAGTACGCAACGCGATGGCAACCGAAACCCTACGAGGCGTGCACTGCCCCCCTCGCCTACCCTCCTGTGCGCTGCCACACCGTCGCTCCGCAAGACGCAAATTTTGAACGGGGCCGTTCCCGCGTTGGCGATTTTCTTTTCCAGGGCCCGTGACGTATTGTCGTCGTCCGCCTGCTGGACCGCCACGCCTCCTACACGGACATCCCGAATCGGAGGTCGGACAATCCCCTCGCGGCCAACTCGGGTCGAGTATAATCTAATGAAACTGGCCGCGGGAGGGCCCCGAGGATTCGTCCTCGGGGCGATTCTTCGAGGACAGGTGGAACGACACCTCCAAAAAAATAAAAAACTCCAAGGATTCGTCCTCGGAGCCCGAGGACGCTCTTAGGAGTGTCGAACAACGCCCATATACGACATATGGACCAAGATTCAAGGACCACCAGCCTCGACGCAAACTATGAATCAAGGTATGTCAAATATCTAATGTCATACAAATTACCTAAATCCCACACGTTCCAACACTAACAGATGTGATAAACACAAACACCCCAAGTATCACACAAACACACACACACTAATCTCAACACATACACACAAATACTCCTTTTTTTTTAATGCAACAATCACCCTACTTCTTAACCCCACCAATAAGGCGTCCTTTATCAATCAAGCATATACAAACTACGGGTTGCGCACCCGTGCCCTATTGGTAAGTCAATTGGATATGTCAGGCCCGTGGCCCAGGTAGCCGTGAACGGGTGCATGTGGGGCCCAGTAACTACCCTCAGGAGGCCACAATCCTTGAGCAGTCCTTCAGTTGTAAATTTTGAAATGGAAACGGCGTGGGGGCAAGGGCACCAAGTCAAGGAAGAGGAGAAGTCCGAAAGCACGCAGGAAAGGGCAGCTGCCCGTGGTCCTGAAAGTGTTTCTCGATGCAGG